GGGGGGGGGGGGCGAAAATTATTTTTACTGGTCCTGGTTCCAAGAGCCAAATACTTTCCTCTACACATATTAAATCCCTCAAGGTAGTTAGTTATGAGCCTGCGTATTTCTTCACTGGCTGAAATCTTCAATGACGAACTTGCAACAATCGCCTCAGGATAATATCAGGGGTTCAGTTTAGATCAAGGCAATCCACAAAAGTACGACGTTTTTTGTGAGTGTGTGGGGTTTTTTTCTTTCTATTTCTCCCACCATGTGATTAAGAACAGAAGACGCTGGTGCGCTAGTTGTAGGCACAAGTTAAAGTGACCGTGAGAGCTTAATTAATCCTTCCAGCGGCTTAATCATGGGCGATTGCCTGAGTAGAACTCTCCCAATCCTTAATAAGATTATCGTAAACGTGTATGGATTATCGGCGGACTGAGGCTCTGTTCCAGTAAGCTGGCGAATAACTACACCAAGCTGATCTGCCGGTACGTCTTCAGAGGTCGTGACCTCTGTTTTGACCGACCACGTCAGGATTGTGAATTTACACGTCATTGCGGTGAAATCATGCACTCGTCAATATGCTGGAATTAAAGAATCCAACATTTTTCTGGCCGCTGAGCACTTTTTATTGATTTTTTAAATTTTCATTTATGGACTCTCCACCTTGTATGTCCATTTCAAAACATTTCTGGGAGGATTTTTACTGAAAAACGTTGATGAAAAGAACATAAAATGAACATTTGCAGGTGGTTTTTTTAAGACACTCAAAATTTAGAAGTAACTAAGCTTTGGCGGCTATATATTTATCGCTAATTTTACCTCCGACACTTGGCGACCCCCATGCACCTCCTTCAATCGCAAATATCTCGACTTCTATTCAAGATAGATGGGTATTTTCTCATCACCAGCAAGGAAAATGAACAGGCTTTAAGATTGTATATTATGTGTTGATACCTCTATATACCCAAAGTTTGGCGAGCGCCTGATTCCACCGCGCAGTGACACATTTATACATTTCGTCCCCGCCGACCTCTCTGTGTTGCAATGAGAAGGACACGCATTTCAAGACACAACTTCAGAGGAGAAGTCTGGGTTAAGGACAAAGTAAAAACAGTAAAAAAGACTCGTGAACGTTATGCTAGCGTGAGTGTAGAAATCATGAGCTGGTGTACTACGTAATAATTTGTAATTTTGTGTGTGTGTGTGTGTGTGTGTGTGTGTGTGTGTGTGTGTGTGTGTGTGTGTGTGTGTGTGTGATCGAGGTGTGTGTGTGTGTGTGGTCGAGGTGTGTGTGTGTGGTGATCGAGGTGTGTGGTGAGAGGATCAGGGCATGGAGTTTATAATATTATTCGCAAAAAGACTGATTGTACGACTATTACTGTCCCCTACTGCCCTGCCAGCACAATTTGACTATTTAATTCTGACTGCATTGTTGACTATCTCTCTGTTACTGACTGTATGCCTATTTGTCTACAGAGCTGACTATCGGTCTCTCGATGGGTGGTTGGCGGCGGGTGCTCTGGTGTGGTTTGCTCCTACTGCCCTATCGTCCTTTCTTATCTCTCCTTTTTTGTGTTAGTTGCTCTCAAGTAAGATCTGTAATCTACAGCACTTATAGGACATAATTGTGTTTCAAGTGCCGTAAAACACCGACTAAAACCTAACAAAGACGACCTGTTTGTTATTAACTGTGTTCTCTATAAAAAAAATGACTTACTTTTTGTCCGCACTGTTGATGATTGCATGCAGTGCTGACTCTGCCAGTTACTCTGTATGTGACAATTTGTCCTCATTGTTTTCCATGTCTGTCCACGACTACTTAACTGTGCTGTAATGTCTTTGACTGTGTTACTATTTGTCCACTTCATCGACTATCTGTCTGTTGTTAAATGAGTGTCTATCAAAAAATTAACTTACTGTCTAATATTGAATGAGTGGCTATTATTTTGTCCACACTGTTGACAACATTTGTAGCCCTGTCAGAGTTGTTACTTTTCAACACTGCTAACAATCTGCCCGTACTGATTGTTTCAGATCTTTCCTCATGAAGCTCGGAGCACTTGTTTAATCGTGAGAGATACGATGCTAGAGTGTGATAAACAGTTCAAAGTGTTTCTGGTCGGAATATACCACAATCCCATCTCTGGAACACAATACATCAGCTGTGTTTGAACGAGGTCTCCTAGTGTCCAGGCTGTAATGCGCCAACTGTGTCCTGGTGGTGATTAGTCACTGATTACGTCATCGTTTATCAGCAATGGCCACCAAGGAACTGGTGAGAGGCAAGGTCAGTCCAGAGGAACCGAACTCTATTCTCTCTCTCTTTCCCTCCCTCCCCCTCTCTCTCCCTCCCTCTCTCTCTCCCTCCCCCTCTCTCCCTCCCCCCTCTCTCTCCCT